TTTGCCATAATTTTCACGATTATATCGAAATTATAATATAAAACGTCATTTTTGCACATTGGACTGTATAAAATATGAGTTTCTGTGTTTTTTTTCATGATTTATGGTGATTATTTACACTTTTATATTTCATTTTCAGTTATTTCTGACTACTTTATTTCATACGTGAACGACGGTATTTGAAATGCTAATTTTATAAATTGAATAAAAATTGTTAAAATACGAAATATAAGCAAAAATCTTTAAAAAATAGAGTAATTACTTACCCTTGGTAAAAAAAACCGAACAAAGTTTTGTAAACTATTAAACACTTTCAAATTTTAAAAATAATACAGTAGGGCAAGAGTCACTTAGTAACGAGTAATTTAGTAACGAGACTAATTCTATTAAAAATTTAGAAAATTAGATATATAGTTCTTATAAATAACATTTAAAAAATAATTGTTTTGAGAGATCTACAAAACGACATTTTGAGAATCCAAATGGATTTGCCGAGCTTTGAAAGGTTAATTATTATACATAACAATATTTTTATAATTTGATCGCTTTGCCAAATATTTGTACCTCATATTTGTTGAAGATTATTAATAATTTTATGTGTCGTTGGTTATTTGTTAGATATAATTATTATTAGGTCCTTACATATGAAATTAGCGTTTTGTCGTACTGACCAATTTGATCTGAAATACCTCTTTGGTTAAAATTCCAAATTCAAATTTATAAATTCATTTAGCTGGTACGTTTGAGTTTTGAAAACAGTCATTCATTTTTTTCCTCATTATTTTTTTCTTTGGCGTCGCTTAGTACCGCACAATGAAAAACATGAAATATCGGTATATTTACGAGTACAAGTTCTACCGTGGCACCAGTGCTGCAGAAGCAGCTCGAAGGATTAATGATGTGTACGGCGCTGGTGTCGAAAAAGAAAGCACGGTACGTTTTTTTTTCAACGTTTTCGTTCTAGAAATTTCGACCTTCAGAACCAACCCCGGAGACAGCCGGAAACCAAAGTGGAAAATGAAGAATTAAAGGCTATTGTGGAAGCGGATCCATCACAAAGCACTTCAGAGATAGCTATCTACCATTGCAAATATTCAGCTACTTGACAATTTATGCGGGAGGCCTATGTTTATTTCAGTGGACTTTTTTTTAGAGTGAAAACAAAAAAGTAACATACCCGAAAATGTGAATGAAATAAAAACTGCATATATTGTCCCATGAAAAGTAAAAAGTTGCAGCTTAAATACATGTTATTACTGGGTAATGGCCGCATAAAGTTTTTGGCCAAAAAAGTGTTCGCTGCGCTGATTCCAATGCGGGGTGACCTCAACTGGGAAACTTCTCAGACATGCAGGTTTTCCTTAACCGCCGAGAACGTGGTAAATCGACACTTCAAATTGCAATTAATATATAATATGCTGAAATATTTAATAATGCTTACGTACCGTGAAATTTAAGTTTTTATCAGTTGGAATACCGCCTTTGACAAATAAAAGGAACCTTTGTTTAAAGCAGTTTAAGTAAAATTTGCTTTAAAAAAATAGCCTGTTAATTTACAAAATACTCATATGAGCTATGAAACCAAGACTGTCACAAATATCTTAATATGTCCAAAAATATGAAAGCTACCTTAAATTACAAAGTAATTATAAATCTCATTAAAGGTAAAAAAGTAAAGTAGCAGCTAATATACGTCTCACTACTGTACACAGGACTCCTCATTACCTATAGTGTATTGCTGGCAGAAAAATAGAGTACGCTGCAATGCTAAAATGCATGTTAACGGTTTTCACATCTCCACGACTATTTTAACAACTCAGGCATCTAGGTTTCCCCACGAAGATATTCTTCGCCACTTTAACGGACACGTGTTAAGTCAGCACGTTATGTTTTCTATAACAGAATCATCCTCGAGGGAATCGTACACGCTTTGCTCCCGTGCCATGATGACATCTCACGGCGAGAGCTACACGGCCCTCATACTTGTTTAAATACAATTCATTAAAACTGAAACTAAGCTTTTGCATGATTGTTGACCACATCTACCTAGTAATTACACATCCAACGTTGGCACGAACGAATTTTCAATTATTTACATCGTATATTCAGTAGCATTCTATTATTTAATTATATCAGATACTTACCATTTTAGTTTGTTTTGTGGTAACTAGATGGCGCTATTATTAGATGAAATAATGAAAGCCAAAACTATATTATCTAATAGTATCAGCAATAGAAGTGAACATTTATTTATTTTATCAATAAGGCATAAAGTGATGTCAATTCTGTTAAAAGTTCTGTTTCTGTTAAAAATTTACGCTATCAGCGCCGGTATCGGTGAAAAACGTTTTAATGATAACGTCATATGACCATATCATGAAATAGCAACGTTTCTAGTTATTAATATCTTCAAACGATTTCTATTCATTGATTTGGTCAAGCTATATCATGAAATGACCATACAATTTCACGAAATGATAGACTACTTTATATGATATATTCTACGATCTGGCCACGACATATATAAAAATCTCTTTAATAAAACTATAATGATAATAAAAATTTTGCAATAATTGCAGACAGACCATTTTTAATCCGTTTACATATAGATTAGCAATTGAAATAAAAAACTTATCAATTTTCATATTTTTGATTAATCTTCTATTGAAATTATTATACTTTTAAAATAAAATGACAAAAATACTAAAAAAAAAACTAAACGTTACAGTTTTTAAATAATTTTAAAAATCTTATTATTTAAACATATAAATGTAAGTTACTTATATTATTTAATCTATTAGTAGGGTGCTTTGGGGTTACTTCGAAAGGATTTATATAAAGTTAATAGATCATTTGTGTTTTCTATCAAAAGTCAGAATCTGTACATTTTTACCTGAAACAAGCACAAGTTTTATGTAGTTTATATATTTTGTGAAGAAAAGCTCATTTCAAAAGTATTCTAACATAGTTGCTAGATATCAAAATTTAATTTTTATTATTAGTTAGATTTTTTGATCCTCAAGTGTAATTTCGAAATACTGCGGGGCAATTTTGAATAACAGTCGAAAATTGTCTTTGTGCGGTATGGCTTCAAGGTACATATTCTTTTTTGATTCTAAATTCCCCCAAATTTTTTTTCTTCCCTAATGGCCACACAACTTTTGTTACAAATTTGTTAAGAATTTATTTTCGAAATTACCCCATGGCAAGTCAGCGTTTCTCAACATTTTTTTACATTATCGGTAGGCAGGGAAAACAAAACAATAAAAAATATTTGAATCAGTTTATTTATGATTTAGTATGAGATCACATTGAGTAGTTGTCGTAAATCAGCTGCTAATCAAGCTATATTAATTAGTTTTAAGTATGTATCTTCATTTATTATTAGACCATATCAATTATTATCATAATTAGTTATTCCATATACATACATACATATACATTATTAGTTCATAATTAAGTAGTTTAAATTAATAAGCAATTCTATGAATTTTTTTAAAGTAATCACAACCTTTTTTTTAATACCAACTCGAATTGGTACCTAATTTTAAATTATTTTGAAAAAGGAAGTACTTTAACTTAGTACGAGATCACATCAGTTGTCATAAACTAGCTGCTAATCAAGTAGGTAGTAATTACCTAGTTATTTTTAAGTTTGCACCTTAACATTAGATCACGTCATTTTCATGGACTATCTTATCGTAATCAGTCTTGCGATTGTCATTTTGAAAATATCAAAGACAAATAATAAATTTTTGAAATTGTACATAACAAACAGTTAAGATATTACATGAAATAAAACTGGTACCTAAACCAAAAGGTAATAAAAAAACGACTTTACATTAAACATCAGTTCACATCAATACTTTTAACTACCAAAAAGGACAAAGAAAATATTCATAAACAATTGCAAAAAAAAATACAACTTAGAAAATAGAAAATACCAAATTCTCAAAAGATATACAATAGATATACAACATCTGGGTTCATATATCTGGGTTTAGGAAATGAAGCGTTAATATACCTAAAATGGTCTGATGCGTTACCTATTAAGTTTATTATTCATAAAGTTATTCATTAAACTTAGTAGGTAACACATCAGACCATTTTAGGTAAGCATATTAACACTTCATTTCCTAAACCTAGAATATGAAAACGTAACGTAACTCTGTGCTTAAAAATGGTTACAAGGATTTTTGTTCCTTCGCTCTCCTATGCTACTACAGACTTAAGAAAACTATTTAACATAATTAACTGAAAAATATATGTTGTCGCTCTCATTAACCAAGCTATAAATTTTATCTATTCTTTGCAAATTTATTTTCTTCACTATAGATATATTTGTAATTTCATCATAATCTATTTTTTTAGTTTCTCTGAAACAAAGTTGGGGTGCTTTCATAGTTTTTATATAAGCGATACAATATAATCTATTTCCGTCTTTTTCTTTTATTCCTTTTATACATCCAATATAGTATTTCCATGTCTTTCTAACATAATATCTGACTAACACGGAATCATTTATGCAGTAATTTTCTTGTAGTGTTTCAATTTCTGTGGTATTTGTAAAATTTTTGTTAATATTACATATAACTACTACACTAGAGTCATCATCAGTCTTATTGGTTTCTTTTGAGCCTTGGTTATTTTCTTTTGCTCTACTCTTTTTACCCACACAATTATTTTTAGTTTTAGTATGAGATTTCCATTTTCGCATTCTTTAACTTCATTTGAAATTTCTTTATTCTCATATTTTTCCAAAGAGTTTAAATTCTCCATCTCAAAATTTAAATCCTCTGGCCAATTTTCTTCTCTAAGTGTTTCATCGTCATAATATTGATCAATGTCCATGTCGTCACTGTAGAGGCTTATCAAATAAGAAATATCAGACGAAGATTCATTCGAATCTATTTCCTTTTTATGTTTTTTCTTACCCTGTTTTTTCTGTTTACTCACTTTTTTTACATCTGAAGGTCCCGCATCTGCGAAATCTATATCTTTTATTGACTTCCTTTTTTCGGCTTAGCTGACGCTGTTTCGTTACTTTGCGTTTCCAAATCTTCTAATTGTTTAGAAGTTATTATTTCAGCTCCTTTAGCAACAGGTGTTTTCTTTGTTTGATAATTAATATCCTTCTTATCCTGTTTTATTTTGTCGAGCAGCAATTCGTCAAAATTGACCTTTACATTGGATAAAATTTTAATTTTTGGCTCAGGCTGTACATTTTGCTAAACTGGAAATATTATTTACCAAAAAAGACTGCGTCTGATTATCTTTTCTTGAAAGGTCTGATAAGAAGGTGACATTTTGAGTATTCGTATGTGTAACTATTCGTTCTACTTGTTGTTCTAAGTCAGGTGCAAACTGTAAAATTTTATTAAAAACGTAAATACAGAAACTTTGCAGAGGTTTCGGATATTTGAGAGCATTTGTTCGTAGCTTTTCTTTAAATCGTTTGTAGACAGCTGGTTCAAATATATCCTGTGGTAATTCAGGGTTGAACGGATAGATTCCAGTTTTTTTGAAGCCGCTTTTTATTATCTCAGCATTTGTTTCTTGCCACGTGTCTGCAAACGTCTGAGAAAAAACATTTTTAGGCATTTTAAGTCCGACATTATGGCGCTGCCATATAACTAATTTAGCATCCCATTTACACTTAATTTTTTTTATAGGAGAGGGCATGCGGCAAACGAGCATGCGGCTCACCTGATGGTAAGTGACTACCGCCGCCCATGAACAACTGCAACACCAGGGGAATCGCAGATGCGTTGCCGGCCTTTTAAAAAGGAGTACGCTCTTTTCTTGAAGGTCCCTAAGTCGTATCGGTCCGGAAAAATCGCTGATGGTAATCGATTCCACAAGGAGGTCGTGCGAGGAAGAAAACATCTTCTAAATCGCACAGTGGTGGACCGCCAATCATCCAGATGGTGTGAAATTTGGCGGCTGGGATTAATCCGAACAATTCCTCAGAGCACTCCCCATGGTAGATGCGAAAGAAAATGCAAAGGGATGCAACATCTCTTCGCAGTGTCAATGAATCGAGCCGATCGGAAAGGGCTCGGTCGTCGACGATTCGAGCCGCTCTGCGTTGGATGCGGTCAAGTGGAAGGAGCTGACACTGGGGAGCCCCTGCCCAGAGATGGGAACAGTATTCCATGTGAGGCCGAACTTGCGCCTTGTAAAGTTGCAGGCGGTGTGCCGGCATGAAATACTGTCCCGCTCTGCTGAGCACGCCAAGCTTTTTAGAGGCCAATTTGGCCTTCCCTTCCAAGTGACCACGAAACTGCATGTCACTCGATATGTCGACTCCGAGGATATCGATACTGGCTGAGGCAAGAAGGGGAGTGCCTTGAAACTGAGGAGATACAACAAAGGGGTTCTTTTTAGCGGTAAACGCGCAAACTTGTGTCTTCTGAGGATTAAACTGGACTAGATTTAGTCGCCCCCAATCCGAGACTTTGTTCAGCAAAGACTCGACTTCAGACACAAGTTTGTTCCGGTACTCAGCGACGTTTTCCCGAGAAATATTGGCACGGCCGGTGTATAGAGCATCACCAGTGCTGTCATCCGCATAGCAATGAATGTTACCAAATAGCAACATATCATTGATATGCAGAAGAAACAGCGTTGGTGATAGCACACAGCCTTGTGGAACACCAGCGTTAATAGGCTTGTAGTCAGAGCATGCACCGTCTACAACGACCTTGATGCTCCGATCTGCAAGGAAGCTGGTGATCCAATTGCACAATTTCTCGGGAAGCCCATAGGAAGGGAGCTTCGAAAGAAGCGCTTTGTGCCAAACCCGATCGAAGGCCTTCGCAATGTCCAGACTAACGGCCAACGCCTCCCCCTTGGACTCTACTGCCTCCGCCCATCTATGGGTCAGGTAGACCAGAAGATCACCAGCTGATCGACCCCGACGAAAACCGTATTGGCGGTCACTAATCAGCTGGTGATCCTCAAGGTACCGGATGAGCTGGCAGTTAATAATGGATTCCATTATTTTGGAGAACAAGGAGGTGATCGCGATAGGCCTATAGTTGGATGGGTCTGAGCGGTCGCCTTTTTTAGGGATCGGGTGGACAAAAGCTGTCTTCCATGAATTCGGGACTACGCCTTGGGAGTAGGAGTACCGGAAAAGACGCGTTAGGACCGGTGCCAACTCCGGAGCACACGTCCTCAGCACAATTGGGGGGATACCGTCAGGCCCACTCGACTTCTGGATGTCCAGGGAGAGCAGTGCTTTGCGAACCGAGCGCTGTGAGAACAGCACATCCGGCATGGAGCACTCACACCGCGGGATGGTTGGCGGCGTTTTCCCCCCGTCATCAAGAGTCGAGTTGGACGCAAAAAGGGAGCCTAAAAGGTCGGCTTTGTCTTTTGCGGCTTGGGCCAGTGAGTCATCCTCCCTGTGCAGAGATGGTAGTGATGGCTTACAGAAATTCCCTTGGACAGCCTTGGCGAGAGACCAGAATGCACGGGTTCCCGAAGGAAGGCGAACTAGTTTCTCGCCAATTCTGCCTATGTGCTCTGACTTTGCCTTGGCAATAACTCTTTTGAAGGACCTGAAGGCGAAGTTATACTTCTTTTTAAGTGTGATGGTATTTACATCCCGAGTCGCCGAAGCCGCAGCCCAGGCTTGATAACACTCCTGCTTACTGCGTAATGCAGTCTTACAGGAGCGACCAAACCAAGGCTGAGATCTGCCTCCGATGGGTACCACAGATGATGGAATAAATAGTCCATTCCCTGTAGCACCACATCAGTGACAGAGTCAGCAACAGCGCTGGGATCATCCGGCGAGAAGCAAACCCGCCCCCATGGGTAGGATGCAAAGAAAGACCGCATTCCGTCCCAATCCGCCGACCTGTAATGCCAAACACGGCGGCAACCTGCAGAACGCAACCGCGAAGGGAGCGTGAGTGGCACCACACTCCGGATCAGACAATGGTCCGAAGAGCCGAGAGGGGCATCGACGGAAACCTGATATCCGTCCGGATGAGAGGTCAGCAGAAGGTCCAACAGGGAAGGTGTATGATCCTCCACATCTGGAATCCGCGTAGGCGAAGTAACCAGTTGTGTTAGACGTGAACCGAGCCATTCGGCATGGTGGGCGTTAAAATCGCCAAGGATCACGATCTCTGCGGATGGGACCTGTTGTAGCAAGGAATCTGTAGCCATTTGGACGTGGTCGATGAGTCGGTCTGTTTCGGCATTACCGCTATGGGACCTATAGAGGCACCCGTAGACGCGCGGATGGTCGTCGCTGTCTACGCGTAGCCAAAGGATGGACAGGTCCGAACCTTCAAGACTGCCGAGGCGTCGAGAACACATGTTGAAGCGCCTGTCAAATTATATTAGCAGTTCTCATGCCAATATTAGTCCGTAAGCTGTGTAGGTATGTTTAAAAAATGTTGTACCTGTCGTCGTTGTAAAATTTAGAGATCAAGTAAAGGTCGATTGAGCAAATTACAGCATTTTACTATTAAAAAGAGATCAATTTCCTATTCATGGTCCTTCGAGCCGGATTTGAAAAAACGTAATTGGACAAGATATTATTTAGTGGAATACGCTTGGGAAGTCTTAAATATTCGTTGTGGAAATACCACCGAGGGAGTGAAGATATTTAACCAAGAAATCTGGAGTCTTAGCCCCTTAGATATTGGACTATTATTTAATTTATTTAACCCAGCACTCATTATCAGGTAGTATTTTGTGTAAATCGACTGCTAATTTATCAGGTTAGTACCAAATTACCTATAAAATAATTACGTATAACTTAAAGTATTTAATCGGCTAAAATTCATTTAATATTGTTTTATATAGTTTCTAATAACCGTCAAATCATGATTAAATCAAATTATAAAGCTTAGTTAAATTATATTGACGATATTATAATTTTTTTTTTCTCTTTATTGGTTTAAACTGTTTTTTTAAAAAAAAAAAATAAGTCAAGAGAGTGTATAATTGAAAAAATTGCATAATATTATTTATTACATACTAAGGCATACCTGTGAAGCTGTTTGATGGTCTGAATTGTATTTGTTACCCTTAATTGTTGTTAATTATAAAGTTAAATATCAAGGTAGTACATGTACCATTTTGTTTAATTATTTAAGAGTTTGAAAAATAAGTAAGGGAATTAGTTTTCATTTCTTTACAACTGTAAGCAAAATTGTATAAAACTACTTATGAATTATATTTTATAAAATATAAACTTCTTGTTTGTATAAATTTCAGGCATTTGCACTAGTCTCCCAATACCAGCCAGCATGCCAGAAGATAAGGAGCAAATTAGGAAACGAGCTAGTTACAAGGGACAAATAACAGCTTTTTCAAATTATTTAAATTCACTGAAGGTATCTTCATTGGCTGCTACTGAGGTAAATGAGTTGCAATTACGTATTAGTAGGATTGAGTCAATGTATGAACGATATGATGAGGTACAATTATCCATCGAGTGTAATACTGATAATATAGACGCCCAGATATCAGAACGAACTGATTTTGAATCCCTGTATTTTAAATCGCTTTCTCTTGCAAAAAGGATCTTAGCAGATTGCATTAAGTCAGATGACGTAAGCAGTGACGGTGGCTCTCATTCCGGCAATCATAAATTTGTTAAATTGCCCACTATTCAACTACCTAAATTTAATGGTTCTTATGATAATTGGTTAGAGTTTCATGACACGTTCATGAGCCTCATACATTCAAATGACGAGATAGATGACATAAATAAGTTTCACTATCTGAGAGCGTCGTTGGAAGGGCCCGCTGCTGTGGTAATACAGTCAATCGAATTCTCGGCAGCTAATTACACCGTCGCATGGACTATATTATGTGATAGATATGATAATAAAAGACTACTAATTCAAAATCACGTGACAGCCTTATTTAATATAGCACCAATTAATAAAGAATTGTCTGTCAACTTAAAACGTCTTATTGACCAAATAAATAAAAATTTACGTGCACTAGAATCTCTCGGTGAGCCAACTAAACAATGGGACACACTTCTCATTCATATTATTACTCAAAAATTAGATGCTAAGACATATCGTGAATGGGAAGAGTCTAAAGGTCGTTTGGAGAAAGATACACCTATTACGTTCGATATATTTTTGATGTTTTTAAAAAATCGAGCCGATTTAATCGAAACACTAGAAATGTCTAATTCTGGTGCTACTAACCGTTTAAATTCTTCTATAAAATATGCTCCAAAAGTTAAGGCAATGGTTTCAGTGCGGGATACCGGTAATAAAAACGGTTCGGCCTTTTCCGCCAAACTGTGTCCTAAATGTAAGGGTGACCATAAGTTAAGCAGTTGTCCTCAGTTTCTTGGATTAAGTAACGATGTGCGTCTACAGTTACTGCCAGAGTATAAAGTATGTTTCAATTGTCTTAATTCAGGACATTATGCAAATCACTGCAAAAAGCCAGGATGCAAAATATGCCACCGAAAGCATAACACTCTCGTGCACGTCGCAGATTACCAGTCAAAACCAATTACAGATATTAATACATCTAACACGAGTAGTGGTAATAATAAGCCCGTTATGCAAGGTCATTTCGAACAAACAAACAGTTCGACAGGCTCACAG